TCGCCTACATTGCTGTATGGTAGGGCGATTTCGTTGGATTGTCGCTACTCCTGAGTCGTCAAAGAGTCGGAAGCCAGGCTTTGGGCTAGAATTCCTCAGGAATAAGGCCGCCCAGGATCTGTAGGGAGCGCCGAGCTTAGTATTTCCGTGTATCCTTACTCGGTCTGGAGTGCAGTTAGTTACTCTGAGGATTTCGGCGGCCACCATTTCGGCAGTGACTTCGATTCGTCCTTCAAATCCGAAAACGGCGACTGGAACCGTTGCGATCCGGAGGGAAACTAGATCACTTGGTGGTTCTAGTTTTGCCTCCACTTGTATGAAGGAGCTGGAGGCCTCCAGCAGTCGAGTTTTTGCATCCGGGTTTTTGGCACGGATGGCAAAGCCAGTGGGAACGCGTTGCACCTGGTCGACATCGGAAGGGGTGCATTGTGTTTGTTTCGCTACTGCTTCGCGAATGCCAGCCGGAGAGAGCTGTCTCCACTCGTGGTTTGCATCGAGACGCAGAAAGAGTCGGTCATCTTTCGAATCTGTTGTTGCTGCTGCCGGCTTTTTCTCCGGTTTCCTGGCAGATGGGGCAGCCGAAGACGAGGTGTTGTTTGTAGGGGCCTGTGCGCCTGACTTTTGGTGTCCTGCTCTGGTGATAGCGGCTCAGGTGCTTCTGGCTAGGAGGGGTGCAGTAGCCTTTGTAATATTCCGAGGAATGGCTACTGGGATGAAGGTCGCAGGGGGAGTCGCGACATTTGATCGTTGGGGTATTACTGGCGGAGCAGTGCTTGGCCCGGCCGCCACGAATTGTGCGATGGCTGCCCCTAGGTAGAATTTGATCGAGTCTACAAAATTTTTATCTTCACCGGTGGAGAGCGGTAGAAGAGCTGCCTCGACACTGCTAATAGCCGTCGAGCAGATATTAAATTGCGCGGCTTTTTGTCTTGCCCTGCGCTCCTTCGCTTCCATCGCTGGAAGCAATTCTGGAGGGTATATTTTTTCTTTGCCTGCTACTTCTGTTGCTGTAGGCGGTGGGGCCAGCGAAGAGTTTTCGGCTCCTGCTGCCTTGGTTGAGGGTATGTCGGCCCTTTTCGCGGGCCTCACTTCTGCGGGTCGCGGTAGTGCTGGAACCGTAGCGCTTTTCGGGTGCGATGACGGTTATTATGGGTGGTTCGGTGGGATTCAAGACTTGTTCCACGTCTTCTGAGCTGGAGGATGCCCACATTGAATCGGCGAGGGTTTTCAACTTCTCGACTTCTGCGTCCACCATGTCTACTTCGGGGACATCGTTCTCCTTAGATGGGAGAGCAGCCGCGATGGTGTTCATGTTCTGAAGGTTGGACTCGAGTCCTCATCTTGTCAGCATATTTCTCGCGTGGTTTTGAATGGCGGGAGCCCATTGGTACGGTTTGTTGACACGATCTTTGGCTGTGCCACTGATCGCGTTTTTGTGCGATTTACGCGTCGGAGGCATTTTAAAATGCCGCCGATGGCAAACAATTACGATTCGATTCGATAAATAATGGGTGAGAGGGATAATAGGGTGGAAATGGGCAACTTGGGGATTCTCGAATAGTGCGTTTGGTATTTTTTTTTTTTTACTTTTGGTCCTAAGCTAAAGCTATCTTTTCCACATTGGGTCAAGGACCGGTGGAGCCGGCAAGGATCACGGCGTACAGGCCCAACTCATTCCAACCGCATGAACTTCTACTGAAATTGTAGAAGTTAACAGCAAAACTAAAATCAAAAACAAAAGTCAAAAACTGAAATCAAATTTGGAAGAAATACTGTTTGGTCCGGATCCCGCGCTTCTCGCCCGTTCCCTTTCCTGCCACATCTTCCACGTGACTTTTTCTTATCTCCGCTGAGAGCGAAATATTAGTTCGCAGATAACCTGAATTCAGCTGGTATCCTGCTATATATTTTGAAGCTTTTTGTAGACTTCACCGAGGGTTGCTGTACCCTCAAACTTCTTCTTTGGATTCCAAGATTCCGAAACCCGATCCCTCGGCCATCGAGACATCCTTAGTTGAGGCCATCGTTGCCTCTTCGGCCCTTTTGGCTGCAGCCCTAAATCGAGCCACTTTCGCGAACTCCCCTTGCTGGATCTGGCGGATCCGCGCGAGCTGCTCTTTTGTCACCGGTCCGGACTTGCTGGGTCTGGCTAAGCAGGCCCGGGAATCCGATCGGTGAGATCCCCCATAGTTTCGACACCGGGTGAGGGCCTTGCACTCTGATTCTGAGTGCATGTTAGATTCGTAGTTCCAGCAGGATGGAGCGCGGAAGCAACCACGGGTGGCTTGGAAGCCCAAACAGCGTTTGCACTGTTCAATTTGGCGACGAGGCTTGTGATGGGTAGCCTTACCAGACTCGTCTAAGAGGCGGAAGCCCGCACGAGGGGCGGAGTCCCGGTCGAAAAGGGCATGCCAGTTTCGATACGGCGCCCCAGGTCGACACTTCCCATGAGGTCGGACTTGGATTGGATTTACGCCGGTCGTAATAGTAATTTGGCCAGAGTCCCACTCAGCACTGACCGCCCTGGTTCCATCCTCTGAAGTTATACTTACAGGTACGTTCGGTATCTGTAAGACAACAAGATTAGAAGATGTCTCGATTTTGAAGTCTTCGCTCGCCAGCTTCGAAGAGCCATCTAGAATCTCTTGTCGTATGCTTTCGTTCTTTGATATCATAGCAAAGCCGGTTATCACTCGATGGTGTGAGGTTATTTTATCGGGAAAGTAAAGGAATATGTCCTCCAAATTACTTCTCACGCAACTTGTGGACAGATTTCGCCACGGGTGGTCCTTTTACAGGCGAAGGAACAGTCGCTTATCGACTTTCGCCTTGGGAGCTTCTTTCTTTTGGGCTTTCGCCGCAGGTCGTGGCATAGCCTTTACTATAGGAGCTACATTTTGTCGCAGTCCATTTTTGGCCACCGTGGCCCAGGTGCTTTTGACAGGCAGCGCTGGGACGGCGGGAATCGTTGTGCTCCTGGCGTCGGGAGCCCTTGGGAGAGGGTTCGCCGGGCAAGGATGGAGGACGGGTTGCGTGATGGCTGGGCCCGGCCACGGGCCCGTGGCCATGTATTGCGCAATGGCGGCGCGTAAGTAGATTCTCATCGAGTCTACGAATAGTCTATTTGACCCGTTAGTCAAAGGGAGGAGGGTGTCTTCGACGCCTGAGATGGCGGCGGAGCAGTGGGCCAGATTTGCCGCTGTTTCGGCGGCGCGTCGTTGTTCGGCCTCGACTATTGGTCGGAGCTCGAGGGGACACTGCTTTCGTGGCAGGTTTTGGCTGCGACGTTGATGTTGACGCTGATATTGGTGCAGCGTTCTCCGACAGTTTTGGCGCGGTCGGAGGAGATTTTGACGATTCTCTAGTCCCGTGAGGGACGGAGGATGGTTGGGGAAATTCCTTAACAATTTCAACTGACCCGATCATGTCAGTATCGGACTCAGTGACGGCGGGGAGGGCTTTTTCATTCCCTTTGATGGAGACCTTGCTCATCTCCGCGCATTTCGGAGACTGGACAAGGCCAGGTAATTGTTCGAGAGCCCTCGGGTGGACTCTCGTGTTGTCCAACTTGGCGTTGGGACGCTTTTTTCGAACTGGAGGCATGGTGAAAATGCCTGAGTTCGATCACAATCGGAGATGGATGCGAAGAGGTCGAGAAGGGAGGAAAGAGGGAAAAATGAATTTTCGAATTTCCCGGATTGTGCGTTTTTTTGTTTGGGGTTTTTTTGTACTACTTGAGTCTATGACTATCTAGTAGTCATCTAGAAATGGGAAGCAATGAACAGTTGACAGAAAGGTATGCTTTTTTTTATAATTCAATTCCTCCATCTAGCAATATATTAAACCGATTTTAATATTGTCGGTAATGGCAGAAAAATTATCATCCTAGATACGCATGAGTCAGTAGTTGGTCAAGAATGGGCGGGCAAAGCGATGGCCTATTTCGTCAAAGCTTCAAATCATGTGACCTAATACATCAACATAAGGGTCTCCTTTCGTGCTATATTGCAGGGATTCCAGCGCGTGTCAGCACCAAATCTTCAGTACGCCATCTCATACCGTCTTTGTTCGACTGTATTGTTTTCACAGAGGGTTTAACTGCCAGCCATATCACTCATACCAAAACCCTAAGGCTCTTAAGTAGATGCGCAAATGTCAACCCCACGTCCAGCAGTTTTCCAGGCGGACAAAACAATCACTGCAAAATTTGCGGAGTGGGGTAGTAAGTCGGGTCCTTTCTATTGGATCACTTCCTAATATGCATCAAGAACTAATTGGTCATCTTCTAGGGTCGCCTTTGCCTCCGACACTGCTAGCGACACTTATCACCTCACTGCACCTTCGCCCCTTTCAACCCCTCCCTATGCTATTTCCACCTGTACTACTTTTCAGTTCCTTTATCAACCTTCAAAATTTTACGCGCGATGCTGCAGGACTAACTGCTACATGGTCCGGAATCTATCTCTTAATGGCGCGGCAAAGAAAACAAAAACATGCCTCAGGGATAAGAAGTCGAATTCAAGGACGGTTTGGGGTGAGAGGTATTGTACGAGGTGCTTCTATGGGACTTGCTACCTTTAATCTAGTAGCCTGCGGCTGGGTATATAGCCTTGATAAAGATAATCAACCGGAGAGTCAGGGAATATAGCAGCGATAAAGTCTTATTTAAATAATATATCACGTAGAAAACACAGATTGACTTTTTAATTATGAAATTTTATGATACTTTTATACCGGCGCCGTTAGGACCCTCGGTGATGACATGTCATTTAAACCGTTGACAATGATTATGAATCTGTTCCTAAAAGATATGTTTTGCAGATTCGAATTCTCTAGAACCGATAAAGGTGAAGCGGGATCTTAAGTTAGGCCGTTTTGGCACCTAAAAAAATACAAATCTTGAGCCTCGTGATTTGGCTAGCAAGGTGCTGGCTGTATATTTGTTCCGTCTTATAGCAGAGTGGGGTATTTAATTGTGGGCCTCGTTTTTTGCGTACTGTTCATCGCTTATAAACATCTATGGTTTGACGAAAGCGAAGAGTCAATAATATCATTGTGAGTAGAATGGATAAAAATAGCATACGCCACATTTTTTGAGTGACGATAGAAAGACGGGATTGTACTTTTTGTGCCTTGCTTAAAATTTCGCCAAGGGCAGAGACGTTGAAGTTTGATATATACTGTACATCACAGTCTCGTATTTTAGGCGTGGCAAACTCAGAGTACTCTTGAAGTATTTTTGAGAGTCCCCAGCCTGTAGTGTGTCGAAATGCAGCTACGGCGCATCCAGTTCGATGCTTGTATACGTTAGAATATTTTGGGAGGTTTCATGGACAACTTACTCTCCCGTGGTTGCAATGAATGAGAATTGGATGGTTGGCTTTATTCATTACAATATGTAGGATACTTTTCATCATAGATTCAGAGATGTTTAGCTTCTTAGTTCCGATCATATCGATGACCTTGTGATTGATGTCGTTTGTTTGTACAAATTGGTGAAACTCGGGTGTAAAATCTTTGTGAACAAGAGAGCTAAACATATGAGCTCAGATATTGATAAAGTTTCATAATGACGCCTACAGAATAGTTTTCAGGCCAAGGCTTCGAAGAAATTCGAAATCCTCAGCTACAGGAAGACTGCTGCGAAATATGCCAGGAGCAACAACTCCAAAGTTTACCGGACGGTAGTCATCAGTTTCATCGAAAGTTAGTGCGTTCTCTTGTGCGGTAGACGTAACTGAAAAGAGTTAGTTGGACCAGGTAGGTTCAGTTTTGTAAGTAATTTTTTTGAGAATTAGAATGAGACCAATTATAGACAAGGTAATTGCTCCTATTCTTCGTATACCGGAAAATAACATATGAAAAGTGAGGAAAATGAGAACTGTATTTTGATGCCCAAAATTATGGTTTGAAAGGTAGGCGCTCCTATATATTTCATATTATCATACCTTGGAGGGAAACTTCATCACAATAAAGAATTTTCTGTTCTTCATCATATATTCTGCCCGATCGTCTTGAAATTTTACCCTCATTCACTTGAGCGTGTTCCATTTCTGATGATATTTAGACCAAAATTTGTGTTATTTAAATTTTTGAAATCGATATGTGCCGCTGAAATTCAATTGACTTTAGTATACTCAGACAACAATCGGTTGAAGGAAAGCCTAAAAGGCAGATTTTTAAGATATTTGAAGTCAGAACATGACGTTGGCGAGTTTTGGAAAAAAGTCCCTGGTTTGAGGTTTCAAAAAGTACCTAGGTGCAGTACGTTTGAATTTTCGATCACTTTATTGAGTAGTTTGCTAGATCAGCACTCTTACTGGAACTAAATTGAATTTTCTAGCCGTTGAAGTCAAGAGATGTTCAACATCATGGTGCGTGGTAAGGGTATACACCACTGGCTCTTCTGATGACGTTTAGAAGCGTGTCAGGACTTGAAATCTGGGCAAATGAAACTTCTTAAATTTCCTTGTATTCAAAAGGTTGGGTTACGCTCAAGTCCAGATAGAGAGTAGTGTCGGTGGTGATGAAGATTTTGAATTGTAGAGTTCAATCGCCTTTATCTGCTCGCCAACTAGCCTAAATTGGAATTTAGTCCCGTGGCCCAAGCAAAGCCGTGAACACTTAGTGTTAAAGTACAAGATCCCTAGCTGCGTTGTCATCTGGACGACAACTGATACGCCCGTGCGGTTGAAAATTCATATTTTTCACGGCAGGGTCTGAGACCATTCTGTAACCATGCAGTCCGTGCCCACATAATTGCGGATTAGCTTTTCACAGTAAACAATTAATCGTATCATCTTTCACGAATTTAGCATTGGAGGCGTAGTTAAACTAGGTTCAATTCTTATCTCACAATAAGGAATGAGCTTGAATTGAGAGCTTCTCCAAATCATCGTATTCGGTTTGAACTAACTCCCAGTTAGGCAAAACAAATAGTGCGAACTAGTTCTAGTCGCTCAGTTACACTTCAGCAGTTTTTTCCATGCATGTAGCGTTTAATCGATTGCAACGTCATGTTGAATCATATTGGATTCTCTCCGCCGAAAGAGAATGGTTGGTCACATGATTTAATGACAAGTTCGCTTAATATATGTTTACACTATGCGTGAATCATCATTCAACGAGGATAAGGCCGGTAGCACTAGTGTCTTCGCAAAAACATCAGTCTCAATCTGCGGGTTTGTGGAGTCAAGAATCCGTCTCACACGTAGGTCAACGTTGAAAATTGGTTTCACGCATCAACACAGATTAAAATTCTAATAGCAGTATCCAAATCGTGCACCCTAAATGGAAATATCTATGAAGTCGGTAATTATAGATGTAAGATCTTATGACCGAGGCTTTTGCACCTTCTGTGCACACGTAGACATTTACACTTTCATGTAGTAAATTTATAGAATTACCTTAAATGAATCAGACACTCACCATACTTATTATTAATTAATCGCTCGCTCTAATAAGCTAGGTAAAGTACCCATACATATAAACATATATATATATATATATATATATATATTGAAGATAAGTTTTCAAATTAATCTACACGAGATTTGTTTTCAAATTTTCAACAAAAATAACAATAAAGCTCAACCTGCCCCAAATAGCGACGATGATAATTGTAATCAATGCGTTGTAGGACAAGATATTGAACCAACTAAACTCCTGCATTTATATTAGGAAGCTTCTCTTTACACTTAACTATGTTCTACTCCGTCGGAAGAATGAAGCCTTCGTGACAGCAAAGCCAGAAACCCTTTTGTCCTGGTTTATGCCATTTACATCAATTAAAGCAGTCTGCTAATCTTTTCTCGCAGATGCTTTCCACGATTACTTATATTGAAAATAAGCCTATAGCATTCTTGGGCCTCCAGTGATAAAGGAGAACTAGGCTAGGCTACTTCACACTAGATATTCTCTGCCTAGATTAGATTAGATTTTTTATTAGAGTCCTATCTGAGTCTTTGACTGTGGAGGACTTCAAAAATATACCTGAAAGATACCAATTGCAGCTACCATATTAAATCAATATTACTTTATATTTTATTCTGATGGAAATTTAGGAGGCTCTCTGTCGAGACTATTCTAGCGTTTTGACGTGATCTCCAGTTTTCTCGAGGTCCGAATGATGGAATGAGATGAAAGAAAGCTTGAAGAAAAAAAGTGATTCTCTTAGTTACATACAAGTCTACAAAGTCCGATAAGATAGTCTCTTGAAACGATTCAGAAGCGGAATATGTCTTCGGATTTGGTACTAGTTTGGCATTGAGAGAACCTAATACCCAATTGTCTCGGTATGTCTTTCCGACTACTACATACCTCCAAATGACATTCAATTAAACGATTCAATAGTGTAATAGAATGCATTAAAATTCAATTGAAGCCCCCACTGGATCTATCTTCATGAAAGACTGCTAGAGCTATCTGTCAGCTTTAAACTTAATATCAATTCAGAAAATTGACTTGTTAACATTTTATTCCGAAGGATTTTGAGGGTTGGTGAGGGTAAGTAATGAAAGACATATAACTTCTCTACCTAATGGTTGGATAGTGACTTGGGATAAGAGACGCCGTCACAAAATGGGTTTAAACAAGTTGTTTGTCGCTACGAGATCTAAAGGAAGTAGAATCCGCCGTGAGAGAAGTGTAAAAGTTAGAATCGAACTTCTCACTGGAAGTTCAGAAATAACAAAATGTATATGAATTTGTTAATGGTTGTGGTAAAAAAATACCCAAGAGAGCCATATCAAAAGGAGAGGGCTAACACAAATTACGAAGCTGAAGGTCTTGGTGCGTAATTTATTCTGACTCTCACTATCATGGCAATCCATGAGCGTAACCGGCAAAACCGAATTCTTCACCTTACGGTGGTGCCGGTGTGATTGCTTAATATGCTCAGCGTATCTGAGATAGCCCCGAAGAGTTGTATCCGAATAGTAGTCAATGTAAAACACCGGCATGTATACATTTGATGACATTTCAATTATATCGGTCTTGCCATTTTCATTTGAGCCCTCATCTTCTGTTTAGGCATACATCATCTCGCCCGGACGACCGACAATGGATCTTCACCAATTGCAAATGGGAGCGTGCCCAATAAATTGACAACTATCTACCACTTCAAAATTACGACTCAACGGACACCTGCAAGGAGAAGGATAAATCATGAGTTATTAAGCTTGAGTTTGGCCTTATGTGGGCTGTTTCTCTAACGGGGCAAGACAAATTGATAGAAAAATAGACAACTGAGACGTGGAATGACAGAGTGAACGTGGTCTCTGGTGGTATGCTGGAACTGGCAGACCTTGATAAGATTTCGACTTTGGAATGTTTGTGGGCGCCAAGGCCGAGGGTTCGGTTAGTCAGCCTGGACATATTTTCTTCCCTGATTTGGAATCCCATGAGCTCACGCAGGTGACTGTGCTGGAATGACTGTGGGGTTGTTTCACGATCAATCGCATTGGATACGTAAAGAGTGATGATATTCTGCGAATTGACATTTATTGCATATGGTAGTGGATGGCTATACAGGATTCATGGCTTTAGTGTCAATCCTAGCTAGCGCATCCATGGCATGCTCATGATGTGTGGATCACATGATGACGTATTGACATCCATGATCCCTGTGAAACATCAGTCGATGAATTTAAATATTCACAAAGAAAGCTTTTTTGGTGGAAACCACTGGAACTTTCTGGTCATTGTCTTCGGTGTTGTGTAACCCATCCAGAACCACGCTTGACGTGATATTGTCTAAGCCTAGTTAGACTAGAAAGAATTAGTTTTCACAAATAAGTGTATCTTACTGGAGAGGGATCAATGGAAAGAGAAGGGTGGGAGAAAGATGAGTTTATTTTACTACCTGAGTTATAGACTATCTACCACAATGGGCTCCTCTCTGGCCCGGGCCACACCTTGTACGGTGCTCCGTGCCTCTTGTGTTCCTTGAAAGATCATTGATATATTGCCCATGATGAATAGCCATTCAACTCTGTGTTTACCCGTGGAAATCGACCACCTTCTCCACGGAACCTTCTATCCAAATAAAAAAAAATGGTAGCAATGGAAACTGCGTGCGCTGGAAAAGTCCCAAAACGCCTGCAGCCGCAGCCAGGCGAGGCCTAGACACCGGGTCCACGTAATATGCGCATATTCATCTATATCTCCCTTCATTTTTTTATAATTTGATGTTTGTTCAGCTATTTAGCTGTGACATATGAACGGTGCTATGTATATATATAGGATGACTCTTTCAGCGCCAGAGATACTTATACCCTGTAATTTATTTGTAAATACCACTATGAGGTATGCTTGCTTACACAAATAGTCGAGCCTCCTCCTCAAGTACCCACCAAAGGGAATTTCAAAACCTTAGGTTATCCAAGCATACCAGCGCCGCGAGAAATGTAGTTCAGTTTTGCCGGATTCGAACTAGCGGTCTCCTGTTTCGAGTGCGATATGTGTCCAAGCTATCCAGACTCTACTTGGTAGACCTGCCAAGACGTACCACCACATCATCCAGCCATGGCGGTGTTTCTAGTGTCGCTTGCACTATCGCAGCCGAAGACTTGGCACGCACAAAGCTCAATTCGTAAAAGCTCCTATCCAAAAATTCGAAATTTCACGCGTGTCGAGACTGTATCCATCCCCTGCATCATCTTGTCGACCTGTTCTTATCCCGCTCACGTCCATCTCAAAGAACTGTCTCCCAGATTTGTGCACCACGCTTTGCTTCCTCCTGCGGGTATAAATATAGGCGTGGGCGTGTATTTGGTGACGAGCTGAGGCCAGAAAAAGTCGACGAGAGGTGTGATCATTGGAATGAGGATGCACTTGGTCGTACTTGTAGGCTTGATGAGACTTAGGTAGGAGTCGAACTCGTTGGGAGCGAAAAAACAACGTGGAGGAGTAATTTAAATCATTGCCTCGTAGGCCAACTTGATCGGTATTGCGAAATTTGACTGAACTTGGCTCTGGGAATATATTTCACTCTCAGGTTCGTCGGGGCCAACGCGTTCAAGTGTTCAGTTTTGCCCTCCTGTAGAAAGCTG